CGGGGGGGGGGGGGGGGCAGCACAGGGCGGGGGGGGCTGGCGGGGAGAGACCGGCGACGTTCGGACGGGGGGGACGGCGAGGCGGGGAGGGCAGCGCAAGGCTTGGCAGCCTGGCGGGGAGAGGCCAGCGACGTTCGGAGCCGCCTCCTCAGTTTGACACCCCCCCCGCGAGTTTCGCAGGTCCCCTTTCTTGTCAAACACTAATACAAATGATGGGTAAACACTTTCCTACTGAAGACCAAACGTGTTTCCACCCCTAAGGGCCTTCCTCAGTGGTCACAATTATCAATATAGTATAGACACACATTCATATAACTGTATGTACTTGTGTACACCCTAATAAATATTAGTACTTTTATAATATACATTGTTAGCTTAGCCCTTTGGTTCGCAGTTTCATTTTGGGTTGAGTTTCTAAGTCTATGAATGTGTGTATTTGTACTTTGATAATATACATTGTTAGCTTAGCCCTTTGGTTAGCAGTTTCATCTTGGGTTGAGTTTCTCCCCCCCCCCCTTTTTTTCCAGTTAATGTAATGTAGCATCTCAACACTTGGCGGAAGAGCTCTGTCTTGCAGGCCCTGTGGAATTGTGATAATCCTGTGTATTACCTCAAAAAGCAGCTTCTTTCTGCAACTGAGGTTCTATTAAACACCTAAAGGTTCCAGACTTCATTAACAGCTCACCTCTCAGAACAACAGAGGAGGGTTTTGGCTACAAGAACTGTGCAGACAGAACTCAAGGCTCTACAATGAGCTGCCATTTAAATCCCACCCAAACCCCCTTTTCATCAAAATAGGCAAAGAATTTCAATTGGTGGATGGCATGCTGACAAAATCTGCTCCCTATCACACGAACCTCTTGCTCAACGTAAGGGCAGTGAGAAAAGGGCACCAACCCCTACAGGACAAGAGTCAACCAGCCAATCCAATACACAGTTCATCAGATGACAGAGTTTGGCCTGAAAACAGCCTTCTAAATGTTCAGCAAGTGACTCTGATCCCCTGTCCTTACTTGTGCCTGAAACTCTTGTGCTCATTTTATAAACTGAAATATTCCTCAAGCTTTGCAAAGAATTACAGAGGCCAATCAAAACTGTGAGAGTCTTTGTGTCTGGTCTTCATCCCTGACAAGGCCCCATGAAATCAAAGGAGAACTACATACACAGCCTGAGCTCCTTGGAAGAACAGTGGGATGGAAACATACCAAAAAGTTAAGCAGATATGCATAGACATAGGGCAGCTATTTCACTGCAACACTGAAAAATACTTCTCCACCTGATGTGTGAGGTTTAAAAAAAAATCTAAAAACCCGATCATAAGGCAAATATATATCCCATACAGTGTAAATTTATTTATTTATTTATTTATTATTAATTAGATTTATATCCCGCCCTCCCCCGTGGGGCTCAGGGCGGCTATGTTACTCATCTGAAATTCTAGATAGCAGTCTTTTAACAACAATTTTGAAGTGTCAATTAACATTTTCCAGATAGTCTGCTAATCTCAGCAATTTAAAGGGAAGCAGGGGAAAACTGAAGTATCATGCCTTGTTGCTAGCCAGCTACTCAGCAATAGCCACATTATACCGACATTTTTTCATCCACTGATAGGCAAAAGGTGTAATCTTGCTTGGTGGATGTGGACTCCAAGTGTCCAAAGTTTCACTGCACAGACAATCAGAAACTTCACACCCTAACATTTACCACCTTAGCCAGATCGAACTGGTTACGCTGATCAGACCTCTTACTAATTACATATTTTTAAAGATACAGCTGAATTCTAGGTTTTAATTCTATTCCTCACTAAAGCACCTAGAAGCAAACAGGAAAAGATGGATAATTTCTAATATATCGCGTTAAGGAAAGAGATCCTTGAACGAGTTGCATCCCGTTTCAGAAAAAACGCATCTCTACCATCTAGCCAAGCAGCCTTTGCAGTGCTTCGCTGCAGAAGGCCAAGTTCGATCGAGCACGTCACAAGGACGCAGGATCTTGCGGGACTTTAACTTCAGCTGCCTCTAGGACGTTCCTGCGCTTCCCACGGCTCCCAAAGGACTTAAACTGCAGCCACATGCTACCCGGAGCAAGCGTGCATAGAACCACACTATTAACCCCACCACCACCACCACCTCCGCGCAACGTTCAAGGATGGCACCAGCCAACCCGCGTACTCGCCTCCTCAAAGAACTTGGTGAGGTCATACACGCGGCGGTGCAGGATGATCCAAGTCGACTGGCTAGTCTTGTGCTCCTGGATCTCCTCGAGCTTGTAATAGCGACCTCGCCAAGACTCATTCTCAGACTTGGTACTGTTGGCCTCCGACATCTTCGGCACCTTGTCCCGGACCTCACCCGCCAGCCCTGACCAAGCAACAGCCACGGATCTCGCAGCTTAGAACTCTGACCCAGGAGACTCTTTACCTCCGCCTCCCCCCTCGCGCACGCCGATTGGGTCCCCCACTGGGCAGTCCTGCCCACGGCCCGTCCTCTCTGGATTCTCATTGGCTGTCCGAGACGCTGTCGTACATCGTCCGAAAGGCTTCCTTGCTGGCTTGCTTGCTTGTGCTTTCCTTCACCCTCGATTCCAAGAAGCGGAGCAGCTGGGCGTCCTGCTCTCTTTCGACTGAAAAAAGGAAAAGGGGGGGAGATGCACGTTTGTGTAGGCAGCCGAAAACAGTCAGCTGACGGTTCAAAGTGAGTTGTAGACTGACCTCTGTTGTAACAGCAAAAGCCCAGTAATGTCTTTTACTAAGATCCGCCAAAAGTTGCTGTCTCAGTCAAAGGCAGTAACTTTTGCTAGGATGTACTAAAACGAAGGACAGGAATGTCCAATCTAAATAATGGGAGAAGCTTGAAGGCCCATTAGAGATAATTGGAGCTAGGAATGCCAATTGACTTGCTTGGGCTCCATTGAAATACATTACAGCTCCAGAAGAGTTGCAAAGAAAATGTGGAATGCATTTTCCATTAAGGTCTGTGGTCCTAAATACACTGCTCTGGGATTGGAATGACAGGCCCCACAGTGGAAGGACAGCCCCTGGGGGTAGCAGGAGTGTTCTGGGACTGGAATAACAGCCCCTGGGGTAGCAGGAGAGGTTTGGGACTGGAAAGACAGGTATACTGGCTCCGGTGGGTCTGGTGTGGGAACAGGCAGAGGTTCAATGAGACAACCAGGTAGAAGGGACCAGGTAATCACTCACAGTACAGGCTCAAGCAGGAGAGTGGTCAAGAGACAGTCCAAGGGTCAATTATCCAGAAACAGGAGTCATCAGTCAGTCCAAGAGTTGGAAGTCCAGAAGTCAGATGGTCCAGTGTTCAGGTTCAGAGCAACAGAGGTTCCAGACAGCAAGTCAGGAGACAAGATGGGTGGTGATGCAGCCATGGTATAAATTGTGCCCACAATAAGCAGCTTCCCCGTCCTGGATTTATAGCTGACTCTGAATGGGCTGGTTAGCTACTGCTAATTGTGGCACGCATCCCTGCAAGTACTCATCTGGCAACAGGTGTCTGTGATTCATCAAACGCTCACTGCGAAGGGCTCTGAAGTCTGATCTCCACTGATGGTGGAGGTGTGTTCAAGGGGTGTTGGAGAAACACTGGGCCCGGGCTCCTCCCTCTCCTCTGCATCTGATGCTGGTAACTTGCTTGCAGCTGGAGGAGAGGGCAAATTAGTTACAGTCGGTGTTTGGTCAACAGCTTGCATCTCCGGTCCCTGAAGATTGATGGGATCTATTGCAGCTGGCTGTTCCTCCCCCTCCAAGGGGGAGATATCGTTATCAGGCTGAGCACCCATCCGATCAGGCTGGGAACAAGTATGACAACAGGCTCCAGAGTGGAATGACAGCCCAGGGGGGTAGGAGATGTGTCCTGGGACTGGAATGACAGGCCCCAGAGTGGAATGACAGCCCCTGGGGGTAGCAGGAGTCTTCTAGGATTGGAATGACAGGCCCCAGAGTGGAATGACAGCCCCTGGGGGTAGCCATTGTTTCCAGTGGGCAATCCTGGTCTTCCTTTTAGTACATCCCATTTTTGCTGCTGCTGGGGTGGATTTGCACCAACCTGGCTACAAGTATCCACTTTTTTTTCAATGTTATTTCTGGTCCTGCACCCTTTTAAGTCTCTTGCAATAAAAACAATCTCATGGGACTTTAAAGGGTAACATATTTATTGTAGCAAAAGTTTGTCAGATGAAGTTGATTGAAGTTCCAGTGAGATAGCCTCGTTAACCTGCAACAATACAAATAGAAAGGCATCTTAAAACAAATTTACTCTAACATAAGCTTTCCTGGGTGGCAGCTCCCTTCATCAGATACATACATACATACACACAGAGAAGCAAAATAACATGCTTATTCCAGTTTTGCATACAAGTGTCACAAACGTGCACTTCGTGGCCCTTGGTCCCAATATTTACAATCCCCCCCCCCAGTCATGCACGTCTGACATTTCATGGTACATCTGAAAAGTTAATGCTACAATAAAGCTGGTGGTCTCTGAGGTGTGTCAAGATTCATTTTTAGTTTTGCTACCACAACAGGGTTTCAGTTGTATGCTTGCTTTTGGAATAAGCCCATTAAAAAGTAGTTCTCACACCGGAATAAATAGGATTTCACTGGAAAAAGCCTCACTCTTTTCCCCCAGGGCCTAATCCAGGTATTCAAGGCCAAGTCAGGAATAACAGCTGCTTATCCCCAAGAAAGCACGCATCCATTTACTCTTTCGCTATAGGAAATATTCCTCAGTTGATTATGTATGAAACTTGATGTAAATAACATATCTTAAATGTCAATTTCAATTAAACTGCCTCAATAAATAAATAAATAAAATATAGTCATTATTACAAAAACTATAAATGAAGCTTATGCTAAACTATCGACTTGAAAGAGAGTAGGAATGCATTCTCCTTGAAAGAGCAAATTTGCAGCTTAGATTCTGCTTGTAGATTTAGAAAGAGTTCTAACCTATGGCATGTAGCATTTTTAACCAGCTTTGGTAGATCCACCAAGATCATAGCAGAAAGCAAGATCTAATCATGGTTATATGTGCTGTTGGTGTAATCACATCTAAGGAGGAGGAGAAATGGGGTTGCCAGCCTCCAGGTGGGGCCTGGAGATCTTCCGCTTTTGCAACAGATTTCCAGCTGACAGAGATCAGTTCCCCTGAAGAAAATGGCGGCTTTGAAGGGTGGACTCTATGGCATTATACTATGCTGTCTCTCCCCTCCCCAAACCCCGCCCTCTCCCAGATCCACCCCCAAAGTTTCCAGGTATTTTCCTACCCAGAGCTGGCAACCCTAAGGAGGAGGAGGAGGAGAAGAAGATTGGAGTTATACCCCACCCTTCACTTGGAGTCTCAGAGTGACTTACAATTTCCTTTCCATTCCTCTCCCCACTACAGACACCCTGTGAGGTAGGTGGGGCTGAGAGAGCTCTTTCGAGAACTGCTCTTGAGAGAACTTGTGACTGGCCCAAGGTCACTTCAGCAGTTGCATGTGGAGGAGTGGGGAAACAAACCCGGTTCTCCCAGATTAGAGTCTGTGCTCCTAACACTACACCAAACTGGTGTTCTGTATATAAGGCTGCCTTTAAAGACTGTTGGAAAATTGCTCCAGTGTGTGATGGTGAGGCTGTTAACGGGAGCCGAGAACAAAATATTGGGAACACTGTAGCCCAACCTAGAAGATAACAGAATACAGGTTTCCAATTCATTTCAGCGCACACTTCAAAATTCTGATTCTTAAAGCCCTAAACAATCAGAATATTTAAAGGGATACCCCATCCCATAGGAATGGGATCTTCAGTAGAGGTCCTGCTCTGTGTAAATTCATATTCAGAAGTGAGGGGGGGGGGGCTACCAATGGACAGGGTCTTTTCTGTTGTGGTTTTTGTGTTGTGGAGCAAACAATATACACCCAGTTCTATTGGGCTGAAGGTCTCTTTATTAACAATAACGGTAGGGCAGGTAACTCAGTATCTGGAATAAGGACTAAAAATATTTAACTAAGCTGTTTCTAGAGCTCCAGGTTCTGCAGTGGGCAATGTGGAAGTAATGCTTTGGTGCATGTTCTCACATAGAGGTCAGAAGGAGCTGTAATCAAGGAGTAGTGAGGATACTGCAATTGACCCACAGGCCAAAACTTCAGCCTATGTGTAATACAACAAATACCACTATTTCAACATAACTATTGCCTGTACAAATTTATCATACATATTTGTGACCTGTCTACCTTTTCCTGTCTCCGCCACAGTAGGCAAAGCTTTGAAATCAAACTATCAAAGCTAATAAAAATTCAGTATGGAGTTATCAGAATTCTGATGATCAGACTGGACTAAGCAGATAGCAGTGAGGGGGCTGCTTGTGTTTCATACCAATAGTGTTTCTTTCTTACATTATAATTCCTGTAATCAAGCTGATTTCCCACACTACCACCAAATCTGCAGTGTGGGCCAGCTCCTAAGATTTATTTTATCTCGGTGTGATGGTACCCAATAGCATATTTATGTGAGGAAGGTCTCATATGGACTGGGCTTTCCGTGGATACAACTGCTGCTTCCCTGAGCATCTCCTCTGAGGGGCATTGGAAGGTGGCTCAGTGGCAGGATATCTGCTTTGCATGCAAAAGGTCCCAAGTTCAGTCCGTGGCATCTTCCGTTTAAAGGGTCAGGTAGCAGACAACATGAAACATCTCTGCCTGAGACCCCGGAGAGATGCTGCCTGCCAGAGTAGACCAGACCAATCCTGAAACAGCAAGGGTCTGAGCAGAAGGCAGGTTCATGTGTTTCATTCACATATGTATTTTCATCAGCTGTTGGCTGTAACACCAGATGGTGATTTCACCTTGTGATGAGTCATCAAACATCAAACACTTCAGACAGAGCTTTCGTATCACCTGACATCATCTCAAATGCTCCGTCCCGCTCCCTGTTCCATACAGAACTTCAGGGAAGGCGGGGGAAATTGTGAGAAGGGTGGCTGGCTGGCTTGTGAGGAGGTAGGCATTTGCCTACAGCGGCAGAGCACACTGAGGGGAAGTGAAAAATCCTTTGCCCTGACACAGGGGTAGATAGGATAAGCCATCTTACCTACAAATTGTTCCTTCTCCAGCTTTGCTTTTGTTCTTGCCTCTGTTTTTTTCTTCACCATCTTCCTTCATTATTCTTATTCATTCTGCTCCATCCCGGACTTTCTCTCTCCCCCACAGCAAATTCTCTGTCTCTCTCATCTGCCACCATAAGATTATTTAGTGCTCACAATTTGTCCTTGTCCCCTTAGGGCTGGTTTTTAATGGGGAGTGTGTTACAGAAAATTATATACTCCAACTTCTTATTGGGATGGCCTTTTTCCACCACATTTTTAAAATTATGTGGCCCTTCTAGGGTTCCCAAGTACCTTCCTACGATCCGGCGGGGGACACATGCT